GGGCAACCTTGTCTAGTGCCTTGGCCTAGAACTATCTGTTCTGTCATCCCATCATTAACTACGTATTACTGCAGAAATATTCTCCACATATAATTGATCTATTATCGCCCTAAATTTCTTTCCAAAACCTCAACCCTTTAAAAGAATCTTTAATGCTTGTAGCACTACGGGGTGGTATATAAGTCCAAAAATAAATAAATAAATAAAAATGTTGCCCATTCTACACAATCAAATGCCTTGAAAATATCTAATGATAAAAATACTGTATTTTTCCGTGTATAAGATGCCCCCACGTATATGACACCCCCCACTTTTCTAATCCAAAATTAAGAAATTTAATCGGGGCTTAGCAAGTGTAGGGGGAAAGGGATCAAAGCACTGCAGGATCTCTTTGATCCCTGCTTTCCCCTCCACTTGTTTTTTTCTCTCAGCTTACTTCCGTCTATAAGACGACCTTCAAGATTTTAGACAAAATTATAGTCTCATACACAGAAAAATACGGTACCTGCCTTTGATTTATATTTGTATTATATATAATAGTCAAAACCACCTAGTTAAATTTTCCATTTGTCTTCCCCTTAAAAACCCATTCTGATCCTCTTTAATATATTTTATAATAAACTTGTTCATTCTATTCACCAGTATTGCAGTGAATATCTTTGCATCTTGGTTTAATAATGAAATAGGTGTATATGAACTTGGGTCTGTTAAATTTTTATTGGGTTTTGGTATAAGAATTATTGATGAATGTTTCCAAGAGTCTGGTGTTTTCTTTCCTTCCAATATCTCATTATAAAGTATTTTTAACTTGGGGATCAGTATTGACTTAAAAGCTTTATAACATTCTGATCCGATTCCATCAAAGCCTGGAGTTTTACCATTTTTTAGTTTATTAATAATCTCTATAATCTCTTTATCCTTTATCTCTTTTTCTAATTCTCTTTTATCATTCTCTAATAGTTTACTCTTAACATTTTCTTTAATATTATTTATTATTTATTATTTTCTATATCTTCTTTCCATGTACTATTAGATTTATATAAATGTTGATAGAATTCTTGTAGTATCTTTAATTTTTACTTCTTTTATTCAACTCATCTTTTTACATACATATTTATTCTTTACCTTATCCAAAACCATGTTAAAATCTCCTGCCATAGTCACATATCCGTTTCCAACCTCCTCCATCTCTTTAATCACATTTTTATAAAATTCTCCTTGATTCATATTCAGTGCTAAACATTTACTAATGTATACAGTGGTGCCTCGCTTAGCGATCGCTGCATTGAGTGACGAAATTGCTTAGCGACAGAGTTTTTGCGATCGCAAAAGCGATCGCTTTGCGATGATCGTGGGGAAGCGATCATAGTAAAGTGACCCTTTTTAAACAGCTGATCGGCAGTTTCAAAATGGCCACCGGGAAAACAAAATGGCCACCCGCTGTATTTCCTCGCTTTAGAGGCACCGAAAATGGCCGCCCCTATGGAGGATCTTCACTTAAAGGTTAGTTTTTAGCCCATAGGAACGCATTCATCGCATTTTAATGCATTTCTATCGGCTTTTTATTATCGTTTAGCGATGAAATCGCTTAGCAACGTTTTTTCCGGAACGGATTAACGTCGCTAAGCGAGGCACCACTGTAATCTTCTTACCCCATTTGATCCTGTATTACCAAATATCTAACATTACTATCTTTTACTACTTCTTTTACCTCAAATTCACAATGTTTAGATATCAGTGTCACTACACCTTTGGATTTCAAAGTCCCATATCCTTTTTCATAAATGTGTATATAGTATTTTGTAATTTCTGTTCATTAACTCCATCCTTTGAATGATGAGTCTCTGGTAAATAAATAATGTCAACCTTGTTTTTCTTCAGCAGTGATTCTATTTTCTTTGTATTTGTTACCAACCCTAGGCCTTTCACATTTAAAGTAGCTACCCTTATGTTTTTCTCCATATCTGTTTCATAATCTGACTTTTATTCGGTCCCGTTGTGTATCCCACAAAACAAAAACAAAAACACCTTAAAAAATTCACCTACATCTCTATCTAATCTCCTATGCCTAGCTACCCTCTCTACATATAAACTCTTTTCCTCCCTCCCATTTTCCTGTGTCTCACTAAAGTTTGACGCGAGCTCTGGGAGGGAGGGAGACGCCCACCCACACCAGTTTGAGCCCCAGCCAAATCTTCCTTCCTGTTTCACCCTATCTTAGATATATGTACTGTATATTTTTCCTTAATGTCTTCCCCTCTTTCATTTAACATATTTGTTAATTATGTCCTTATTCCTTAAATTTTCCTCTCACTTCTTCAACCCCAACCCCCCCAAAAAAGAACCAAGGAAGAAAAAAGATCATGTTAAAAAAGAGAAAAGAAGAAGAAAAGAGGGGAGTCGTCAAACATCCGATAACATCCAATGGTTTCGTCCAATCAAGATATCTTTCTCTTTCAGATTTCCACTCCTTGCAGGCCTACTTGCTCGTACCTTGGTCACCTTCTTGCCAAAGCCCCCATGCAATCAGGAAATCCTTGCCTTCTTTAAAAGAGTAGATTTTGAAAAGGACTCTATCCTTCCATGTTTTTAAAAAGACAGGATGTATTTGTATTTCCTACCATTGTTGATTAGAATTGAAGTGATGAGTTTCATCTGTATTTGTTGGGATCTGCAAGATGAGAGGAAGTAGAGATCTTGCAGATGAAGCCTCAGGGCAGGGATCTTTCTCCTCGACCAGCAAGGAGAAAGGAAGAGACACAGGACACTCGAGTGTGGTTTTTCAGGACGGGATCCACAGCATGCCGTGACAGCTGTTCAGAGGGACTCTCTCTTCCTCCTTTTCCGCGCCCCCTTTATTATTGTACTCTGCTACCTTTGCACTAGTTAATCAATACAGAGGTAACTAATTTCTTGAATACACAACAGAATAACCAGAGTGCTGGTAAACAGAGACAAGTAATTTCCTTTAATACAAAGGCATCAGTAAATAGAGTGGTTGGTAAACAGACAGGCTGGTAAACAGACAGTTAATAGTAAACAGACACAGATAACTCCAAATATACAGACAATGTAAACATTCCTGAGGTAGACACTTTAACTACATTACCCAGAGACAATAGACAGCAGGTTAATGATCATCCTTACTGGAAACTGACCTGTGCCCAAAACAATTTCTGCTATACACATTGTAAAAGCATACAATTTCCCCACATTCATCGTTTTCCTCCACTGTATAGATTCATTGCTTAAATCTTGGTAGAACTGAACTGGGTTTGATCTATAAACTAGCAGTTCTGGTTTTTCCTTAATGACCTTAAGAAATTGCTCTTTCTTGACATAGTTGAAGAATTTCAATATTATAGGTCTTGATCTCTTGCTTCTGGGATTCCCAACAAAATGTATTCTCTCTATATCTTCTTCTGCCAAATGTTGGGAATTCATAATAGAATTAATCCAGCTCACCACTTCCTGCTTAAGATCAGTTCCTTTTTGATGTTCAAAATTCAAAATATTTTGATGTCGTTACGTCTTGAGTTATCTTCCAGATAGAAAATTTTCTTTTCCAAATCATTGTTGCATCTTCGTTTTCCCTTTGGATGTCTTCCAGTTGTTGCACTCTGCCCTCCGTTTTCTCCAAGCGTGCCTTCATGTTCTACATTTCTCCCTGGGCTGCTTTCAAGTCCTTTTCCATCTGTTGATTTTCTTTTATTAAAGAGCCCATTTTGGAGAGAACCTGTTCCTGTTTTTTATCAATCTGGCTCTCAAGTCCTTTTACACAGACAGCTAATTCTGAATTTTTTTTCCATGCTGGCTTCAGTAAGACTGCTAAAAGAGGTAGCCCCTCCCTCCTCCTTTCCCACAGCTTCCCGAGTCTCTCTAGAAGCTTCTTTAGGAGGGGGCTATTCATCCACTCGTGGTAGACGTTCAAGGCTACGATCTGATGGTTTTTCTGACAATTCTCTTGTCCAACTTCTAGCTCTTTTATCTCTGTTTTTCCTCATAAGCAGAGCAAAGATTTATAGCACAAGAAGGCAAGCCATCTTTAACAGTTCTTTAGCTGTATAACTTCACTGGTGTTCTTTCTGAGCAAAAACGAAATTACATTCCCCAGATATGCAGCCAGACTTTTACAGTTTAAAAAGCACTTCTATCTCTGCTTGAAGTTTTCACAAAGAATTTAAGCATGTTTACTCACATTTCCAGTAGGGAAAAAGGCATTTATCACCCTATTTACATTCCACAGGGTGAGGAGATGAAGATTCAGTTGCGCCATCCCGGCGGAAGTGACATCTCCTCGGTGAATCATTTTTGTGTTTTGCACAGTTGATAAGGTGTTCTGTGAACAAATCACTAGCCAATATAATTAGCTATACATTGTTTAGGAGATGAACCTCAGAAGTAAATCCACCCCTTCTTCCATTCTGTAAATCAGTAGAAGGAGTTGAACCTCATGGTGCTGTGGTTAATCTGCAGTACTGCACTCAAGACTCTGTTCACAGCCTGAGTTCAATCCTGATGGGCTCAGGTAGCTGGCTCAAGGTTGATTCTGGCTTCCATCCTTCTGAAGTTGGTAGACTGATTGCACAGCTTGCTGCGGGACAAGTTGTTGTTTGCATAATTCTGTTGTAAACCGCCCAGAGACTGCTTTAAGAGTTACGGTGGTTAATCTGCAGTACTGCACTCAAGACTCTGTTCACAGCCTGAGTTCAATCCTGATGGGCTCAGGTAGCTGGCTCAAGGTTGATTCTGGCTTCCATCCTTCTGAAGTTGGTAAACTGATTGCACAGCTTGCTGCGGGACAAGTTGTTGTTTGCATAATTCTGTTGTAAACTGCCCAGAGACTGCTTTAAGAGTTACAGGGTGGTAGTTGTGTTTAAAATAAAGCAAAATCCTTATCTGAGAAATGGAAAATCTTGTGTGCTGGCTTTTCTGAAAATGAAAGGTGAACCTTATTTGCATCTTGTTGATTTGTTATTTGTTTTTGTTTCTTCATCCAGAAGCAAAACTGATTACAGATGACTCAGTTGTACGAGCTCGAGAAGCCACTGAAGAAGATCTTTTAGTTGTTCACACACGACAGTACTTAAACCGATTAAAGGTACAGTGACATCTACCGATATATAAAACAGATGAATTCATCCTCCCCTTCAGGTGAAAAGAATGCCCAGCAAATATAAATGAGGAGAAATAAAACAGCGATGTCAAGAGCAAACATAATTCCTTTCCTAGCTTTGGTTCTGTTGTTTCAACAAGAACAATATTTTTTAACTGCATAGATATTTTTTAACAGCATAGATTAGAGATGTAGACTTGGATCCAGAGCTGCAAAGTGCACAGGGATAAAAAAAAAAAATCTCAAATATGTTCAAGGAGTAGCAGAAGACTTGGTGGGACACTTTCCAAGAGCTTTTTGGGAGAGACTGTACAACAGCTTGTGGAAAGGGGAACCTCTTTGGTGAGCTGTTGCGCATGGTCTGATGGAAAACATTGGCTGAAATCCAGTTGTGTAAATACATATGCTGTGTTGAGTCTGATGAGGTCGGGAGCAATGTTTAGTCATGTAAAATGTCCTGGACTCACCCTGCTATCCCCAAAGGCTTCCCCAGGACCAAAGGGTGCCTAGGAACATTGGCAGGGGGTGGAGAATATAGGAAATGCTTTGATACATCCAGGGCTGTTGACATCATCAGCACTGACATTACATAAGAAATGATCCAGTTAATGGAAATTTTGCGACAATATTTCCTCACTTTGCTCTGCTGGCTTGGTCACAGCTGCATAACAGAGGTAATAGGCCATGTACATTATTACGCCCCTAAAGAAGTTGGTAAATTGCATGTTTGCACTTGACCTCAAAAGATTTCTGTAGAGCTGCATTTTCGGTATTGGCTGGAAACCTGGGTGTTCCAGCTTTTGGAGAAAAGCAGGGTAAAAACATCACTATTTAAAATCGCATTCTAAATAGCGATTTAGTCATAATAGTCATAAACACCAGAGAATCTCAAAAATCGGTTATGGTTACAAGTTATTCAAGATGTTTGAATATATTTTTTCAACTTTTTTTGTGCTGCTTACAGAAGCATACAATGGAAAGCTTTGAAGAGGTATTCTAGCAGTCATTTTGCGCTTTTGCTGTACACTTGATGATATGAAATGAAGCGTAGATATTTGTTGTATTGCTACTTTTGTGCTTTTCTTGCTTCATTGGCTACTTCCAACGCTGATATCATTGCCATTCTCCATTTTGCTCTGTATTTTTGCCTCTGTAACTAATTATGTTCATTTGGGTTTTTCCCCCAAAAAAATGTTTTTATTCTAAAGTATTTTATTTTCTCTGATCTTAGATGGGTATGTAAATCCAAAATTAATAATGGCAATACAACTATTTTTCTTTTACGACCAACAGTCTAAAATAAATTATACAAATGTCAGTAAAGATTGTATCCAGTGCTTGCTTTACAAAGGGGTGGAGGCTCCGGAACAGTGGGGGCTGCGGGACAAGAGGAAAAATCTTTGCTGTCCTTCCGCAAGCAGGCAAAGACCTTTTATCTTCAGGCAAGCTTTCTCTCACTGACTTGACTGCCTGAGTGTGACTTTTAGCTGGATTGTTATGCATTACTGCTCTGATTGGGCCTTTAGTACAACTGTACTTGTGTTTACCATCTGTTAGAGTGGTATTTGTTTGTTCCTTTTTAATGTTTGTATACTTATTGTTTCAGCTTTAATATCGAATTTTAATGATGTAAGCTGCCACTTTATATTCACATTTTGAGATTTAAATATTGTCTTTCAGTGATGTAAGCCAACTTGGGTCCTTTTGAAGGAGAAAGGTGGGGTAAAATTAACTTAAACTAACGTATGAACGAGCAAGTGATCTGAAATGAGGTGGAAGTGTCTTGTCCTGGCAGGAGGCTCAGACAGCCACAGCCCTCATTGTTCAGGAGGGTCACTGACCTTCTGGAGAGGTGTTGGGGATGGTACTAGAGTTACAAGGCAGATAAACAAAGGAGAAAATTGTTTTGCCCAGACAACATTCCCGTTGGCGCACCCACTGGATACAGGCTCCAAAACAGAGTTTGGGAAAGTTAGTTTTTGGACTACAAAGCCCAGAATCCCTAGTGAGCATGGGTTTTTCTGTGTTGTCTGGGGAATGACAAGAGTTGTATTTTGAAAAATGTAACTGCCTCAAATGCTCTAAATCTGCTTCTCTAATTTCTTCACCGACATTTTCTCAGGATGTCAAGTCGTTGGTGCTTTTTGTAATGATAGTTTTTCAATTTGTGTGTTTCTGCTTTGTATACAGTATTGCACCAGAAATAAATATGAATCCTAAGCATACTTCTCTCTTGGTAAGTTCTGTTGAACTCAGGGGGACTTAGTTCTGAGCATTTCTACAGTCCTCTGTGGCTTTACTTGGGAGTAGGTCCCACTGAATTCCATAGGGCTTGCTTTGGAAGAGACATGCGTAGGATTGTGCTGAAAGGAAATAATCTTTAATTGCTGCTGTTGTTTTTCCTTCTAGTGGTCGTTTGTTGTGGCTACAATTACGGAAATTCCACCTGTTCTTTTTCTGCCCAATTTCCTTGTTCAGAGGAAGGTACTGAGACCTCTCAGAACACAAACAGGAGGAACAATAATGGTAAGGAAAGTGTTTTCACTATTTCATTTTGGCTCCTTCATTTGTTCTGTTACATGTTATTTGTTGTCAAATCAGAACTGAATTATGGTGACCCTCATAAAGTTTTCAACGTGGGATATTTTAGAAGTGGTTTTGCCAGTGCCAGCCACCAAATGACTTTCGATGGCCAATCAGGGATTTGAACCCAGGTGTCCTGAGTCCTAGGCTGTCCACTATGCCACACTGGGTGTCACCCAATTCCTGAAATCGTACTGTGCAACTTTATGCCTTTGCAAACTGGTGATGTCATCAGCTGTGGGCTTTTATTACCAATTAAGTCTTCCCATTCCAGTTCTAAGATTTCCTAGGGATCCTTTTCAACTGAGGAAGCTTTTGAAGGCCACCACCGTAGGACTGACAGCAGTGATTTTTGGACATTAAAGGCTCTCACACCCATTCAGAGGTTCCCACAGTCTTCCTCAGGTGGAAAGGGATCACTTGGGAGCCTTGGAACCAGGGATGGATAAGTGGAAACTTTTAATTAGCGATAAAAGCCTGCAGCTGACGAGAACATCAACCTTCATGGGTGTCAAGATGCTCAATGAGGAAGATGTCTGAGGAAGTGGAATTGATCCATGAAAGCTCTGATTAACATACAGCAGTTGATTTTAAGGTGCTACAATGTTTTTGTTATTTAGTTTGATTTTGTATTTTTGTCTGATAGACTTGCCCAAACTTAACACAGTGAGCTCTTCAAAAACATGAAGCAGAGTTAATAAAACTGGGCTAGACTGATCAGTGGCCTGATTCACTGTAAGGCAGCTTCCATTCAGCCCTTTGCTGTCTGTCTGCTCAGCAGCTATTATGGCTCAGTGGGTTACTCATCTGGGAATAGGAATCCTCTTTGCGTCTCGGGGAGATGGGCCGGCTGCACGATCCCAAACAACCACCAAGAGGCAAGGACTGGGAGAACATTTCTGGATCCTTAGTACTAAGAAAGCTTTGGGAAGGTTGCCATAAGTTGGAATCAGTCTGGCAGCGCATAATTATTATTGCATCTGCTTGGACTGTTTAGACTGGCTCTGCTGTGCCTCTGAGGTAGAGGGAAATGCAACCTCTATCAAGGGGATAGAGGTTGCATTTCCTTTATAGCTCAAAGACTTCCCTGGGGCAGCCACAGCATGAAAAAAACGCCTCACTTGTTGGCTGCCCCTACTTCTGAAGACAATTACGAGTACATTTTCTAGCTTTCAGAAATGGATAATACGTTTACTACAGGATTTCAGCCTGTCATGGACTAGGTGAGCCAATAAATGGCTACAGGCTGATCTCCAGTTGGCACAACTGTTGTTATGCGCCATCAAGTTGCCTCTGATGAATGGCAAACCTATGAATGAATAATCTCCAAAATACCCTGTCCTCAACAAATCTCTTGCAAAATAAAGCCTGTGGTTCTTTTAAGGAGTCAATCCATCTCATATTTGGTCTTCCTCTTGTCTTGCTGCCTTCAAGCATTATTGTCCTTTTCATAGGATCTTGACTTTTCATGATGTACCCAAATTACAACAGCCTCCGTTTCATAATTTTTGCCTCCAGAGATAGTTCAGGCTTGATCTGATCTAGGACCCACTTTTTTGTTATTGTGGTGATCCAGGGTATCTGCAAAGCTCTCCTGCAGCACCATATTTCAAATGGATCTGTTTTTTTTTTGGGGGGGGGTTGCTTTCTTTACTGTCCAGTTTTCACATGTGTATATGGTGATTGAGAATACAGTAGTGTGGAAATGACACAACTACAGGGACATAAATGGTGAAAGTGCCATCAGTTTGCGATTTTGCTCTTCAGTTTAACTTACGTAATCAAAAGCTCTCCCACCCCCATATTGGAAAATCACTGCTAGATTGTCACCATCAGAGCATTTTCATTAAAATCTTCCCACCTCCTGTCCTAAGGCTCGCATAGACTTTTCGAGATCAAAAGTGATCCCTAGGGAATCTTGGAACTTGCGGATTGGGTGGGATAGGAAGCTTTCAGTTAAATTAAATTGAAGAGTAATAGTGCACATTGATGATGTCATCATCATTTATTCTCATACAGTTTTTAACAGGATTTCAGCAACATTGTACTGTATAATAATCTGTTGTTTCAGTTGAGACATATGAAGAGAGTGGAAGCCCACAATGACCTCTTTCTCTCCCTCCCTCCCTCTCTCTCTCCCTCCCTCCCTCCCTCTCTCTCTCTCTCTCTCTCTCACACACACACACACACACACAAACACACACACACACACACCTCCCTTTGAAGTTCTTCTGCTCTACAATAGCTACCTTAGATTTAGTGAAAGAGTGTCCTGGAGTATTCACCCAGAGCTTTTTAAATATTGCAAATTGTGATATCAAATTTGTATTTATTCTTTTTGCATAGGCTACATTAGCAAATACTGTTGTTACACTGTGCTAAAGAATCAATCGATTTGCTCTTCTCTTTTTTTAAAGGCAGGGAAACTGGCAATTGAGAGAGGATGGGCAATTAATATTGGTAAGTAGTTATACTTCCACAGTCTTCTCTCTCTCCCCTCACCAGGAATATTGGTCCAGTGTCTTGGTCACCTCTCACTACGGCCATTTTCTGCTCTTCATTCTCATGTTTTGTCTTCTTGGACTCCCTACATCATCATGATCCAGCATGCAGCTGCCAACATCATTCCTCACTTGGATCAGACCAAGCCCTTCCGTATGGTTCTCCAATGGTTTTACATTCCTTCCTAGATCCAGCTCAAATAACTTGTTCTTACTTCCGAAGCTGTCCATAGCCCTACCCC